TCTCAATTTGACATATCAGTGTTTGTTTTTTTTTTATTAAATCAATTTATTGGGGCTCATACAATTCATCACAATACATAGATCAATTGTGTAAAGCACATCTATACATTTGTTGCCCTCATCATTCCCAAAATTCTCTTGCCTCTTGGGTTCCCGGAATCTGCTCATTTTCCTCCCCCCCACCTTCCTTTCCTCCTCCCCTTTCCCCCGTGCACCCTTAATAATTTATAAATTATTTTTGTATCTTACATTACACTGTCCGGCGCCTCCCCTCACCCACCCTGCTGCTGCCCGTCCCCCAGAGAGGAGGCCATATGTGGCTCCCTGTGATCCATTCCCCCTTCCTACCTCCCCCTTCCCTCCTGGTATCGCCACTGTCACCCCCGGTCCTGAGAGGTTCATCTGTCCTAGATTCCCTACGCTTCCAATTCCCATCTGTACCGCTGTGCATCATCTGGTCTAACCAGGTCTGCAAGGCGAAACTGGGGTCCTGGTAGTTGGGGGGAGGAAGCGTTTAAGAACTAGAGGAGGGTTGTGAGTTTCATTATTACTATACTGTACCCTAAGTGACTCATCTCCCCACTACCCCTCTGCAAGGTATGTCCAGTTGTCTAGAGATGGGCATTGGGTCTCCATCATGCGCCACCCTCATTGACAAGGATATGACTTTTCTCCCCGCCTTTGGTGTTTAAAGCCTGGTCCCTTTGGCCCTTCATGATCACACATGTTGGTGTGCTGCTTCCATGTGGGCTTTGTTGCTTCTGGGCTAGATGGCCGCTTGTTTACTTTCAAGCCTTTAAGTCCCCAGACGCTATAGGTCTCGATAGCCGGGCACCATCAGCCTTCTTCACCACACTTACTTATGCACACATTCATCTTCAGCGTTTATGCGTGGAAGGTGGTCACACAGTGATGGTTTTTGTTATTTGGTGTCGGGAACAGGCAGCAGACATATCAGTGTTTTAAGACCTCTTGGATTTCAGCAACTAAGGAGGTGCCATTTGGGTATCACAGATTGCTAATTCGCTTTCCTCCCATCCTGATTTCGCGATCAGCATCTAGGCTAGCCTCTTGGATTATTTACTCAGTATACAGGTTGAATAAGTATGATAGAAGGATACACCTCTGATAGACACCTTTCTTGATTTAAATCATGAAATATCCCTCAGTTCTGTTTGAAAAGTAGCTTTTTGGTTTCTGAACAAGTTTGACGTGACAAAACTAAATATTTTGGAATTCTTATTCTTCACAATGTTATCCATAGTTTGTTATGATCCATACAATTTAATAGCTTCACACAGCTGATAAAAGATCAGCAAACATTTTTCTACTATTCTCTGCTTTGAGCCAAGATCCATCTGACATCAGCAAAGATATTCCTCATTCTGAAAGATTACTATAGTAATATTTTGGCAGAATGCATAAATAAATAAACTCAGTCTATTAATAGCCTCACATTAATGCAGGTCATGATTGCAGATAAATTATTCCATTCAATTCAGTCTGGCCACCTTCCCCCAAAACAAAACAATGACTTTTGAGTGTTAGAATCCTTTAGGTTTTAGTATGGGGTTAAGCATCATGTCCTTGATTATCGGCATGCCTGAGTCTATCTAGGGGCTTTTCAGAGAATCCTGAATTAGAAGCTGAGCTTTTTGATGGATTTAACTGGGCCTCTATCCCAGGCCTCCTTTCAGAAGGCTGTTGCTGAATAGCAGGACTGAGGATCCCTCTCTCGAGGTTGTAAGAACCAGTGGCTCTGCTGTAAACAGGGAGAGGCATGCAGCATTCCATGCTAAGAGAAGCCTTATGACCATGGATCTCCTGTGCTTTTAACCCTTTCTTGCCCAGAGATTATAAAGAAAAGCTTTTCAATGACATCCCAATTTCTATTATATTTGGGAGGTAATTAAAACAATATACAGTTTCCTTGTACATTGAATTCACACTGTGACTGAATTCAGCGATGCTTATCTAATTAGAAAAGGGGTGGATATTTATAAAGAGCTAAAGCTGCATTATGATATGGTTCTTTGAAAATAGACGGAAGGTTACAAGTGGAAGTGGTGTTTTTGTTTTTGCTGTTTTCCCCCTTAGCCCAGGCTACTCCGACGAGGAAAAAAACTAACATGAACCTGGAATATTTTAAAACTGACATTTGAGGGGGTACCCCCCAAAACCCAGAATTGAGCTGGGTGGAGTGGAGCTCCGTAGCATATATTTTTCCTGCTAGGCAAGCATCAAGCAAGTCACTCTCAATTAGTGCACCCAGTGGTGTCGCCTGGGAAGGTTTTCTCCGTCACAGTAAATATTGTTGCAAAAGCAATTCACTCAAACCTTGGTTTTTGTGATGGCCAATTTAAAAGAACAGCATGTGGCTGTGAAATTTTGTGTCCTGCTCAGGAAAAAAGCCACAGAAACTGTTGTGATGTTGGACACAGCTTCCAAGGACAGCGCTATGGGAAGACTCAAGTGTACAGTTGGTTTTTTCGTTTCAAAGCCAGTGAAATGGTGATTGAAACAAACTTCCTTCTGGATATCTGTCAACTTCCCGAATGGGAAAAAAAGGTTGAGAACATCTGTGCACTATGCTTGAAGACCGAGGATGCACCATTGAAGAGAAGTCATCTGGACTGTCTTGGAGCTCCATTTGGGGAATTTTAACAGAGGATTTGGGAATTAGAAGGGTCACTGTGAAATTTGTGACTGAGGTTCTGACTGACCAGGAAAAAGAATGTCAAGTGGAAGCATGGTACGCTTACGAAGTGACCTTGACTTTTTTTCCCACTGGTGAGGAGACATGGTGCTATTCTTATGAACCTGAAAGAAATCATCAATCAAGTCAGTGGAAGACGCCATCCTCACCTCGCCCCCCAAAAAAGCTTGTCAAGTGAAATAAAAGATTAAGACAATGCTCCTATGTTTTTGTTTTTTTATGTGAGGGGCATAGTGCATTTGGAGTTCATTCCACCAGGTCAGACTGTTAATCAAGCTTTTTATTTAGAGGTTCCGAACAGATTGTGTAACAATGTGTAACAAAAAAGCCTGAGTTGTGGCAGAGGGGGACTGGTTTTTCCACCACAACAATGTACCTGCTCACACAGCCATCTCAGTGTGCCAGTTTTTGTCTCTCTTGCCCCATGCACCTTACTTACCTGACATTGCTCTGTGTGACTGCTTTTGGTTTCTGCGAAGGCAGAGGGACATGAAAGGACAGTGATTTGATGACATAGAATAGGTGAAGCAAAAAATGAGGGAGGTGCTGTCAGCCACCCAAAGAGATGAGTTTGAAAAATGTTTCCAAGAATGGAATCGCAGATTTGACAAATGCACTTTGTGTAAGTGTAATAGAGGGTACTTTGAAGGTGATAAGGTTGCTTTTGTTTAAATTTTAAATATATAGCTTTGAAAAAAATCTGTTTTTTTGGGTATCCCCTCATATAACAAATTTTTTCTACATAATATTTAAAATATAACTAGTTGGTGAGTTTTCTTTTTGTTTTGGGTCTATATCTTTTATTGGTTTCACATCTTAACAAATGGTATAAGCTTTAATAGTTTCCAAGTTGTGATCGAATATACAGTTAATGTTATGAGTGCATTAAGAATTCATACCATGGCAGTACTCTGAAATACAGAGGTACATTATCTTGTACCAAAGTAAATGTGACCTTGGTGCTTCACCTGCATTAATCACTTTCTTCTGGGCACAATAGCAGAACACTAACTTGGTATGAATAATGGATGCAAAAACCTTAGATTAATTTTTAGCTTTTTAGTCTTCATATGAGCACAAAGATGAGGTTAAGTTAGGAGTCTAGTTCCATTTCAAGGGACCAAATTGCCAGTACTTGTAATTTATTGGTTTGGCAGTTTCTTCCCTAGCATGAACTACATAGTTGCTAAAAGAAAGCAACCCCATGTACTAAATGAAGTTACTCCATGTACGTAACCCTATTGTACTCTATTGCTGTGATGTGCATAAATGCTATTGTACTCTATTGCTGTGATGTGCATAAACTCTCTGGTACTCTATTGCTGTGATGTACATAAACTCTCTGGTACTCTATTGCTGTGATGTACGTAAACGCTCTTGTACTCTATTGCTGTGATGTACATAAACTCTCTGGTACTCTATTGCTGTGATGTACGTAAATGCTATTGTACTCTATTGCTGTGATGTACGTAAACACTATTGTACTCTATTGCTGTGATGTATGTAAATGCTATTGTACTCTATTGCTGTGATGTATATAAACTCTCTTGTACTCTATTGCTTTGATGTTCGTAAACTCTCTTGTACTCTATTGCTGTGATGTTCGTAAACTCTCTTGTACTCTATTGCTGTGATGTACGTAAACTCTCTTGTACTCTATTGCTGTGATGTACGTAAGCGCTATTGTATTCTCTTGCTGTGATGTCTTCTTCTTATCTCTACAACGCAGTGCACGACCAGTTAGATGACAAGAACTGAATATGTTAGACCCCCAACTACTCTTAAAGGAAAAAGCAATAAATCTACATGATGTTAGATGAGGTAAATCTAGGAATTTGAGGACCAGGAAGGACATAACTGAAGATGGAGATAATTTGATTATGAAATTTAAAAATCAATTTAAATCTGTTCCAATAAACTAAGAAGTGTATGAAGGTAAGAAAAATATTGCTACAAAATCATAGAAAGTTGTATTAATAATATAAAAATGTGAGGAGCACTCTAGTGGTGTAGTGGATTATGCTTTGGGCTGCTAACTGTAAGGTCAGCAGTTCGAAACCACAAGTCACTTCCGAAGGAGGAAAGACAAGGCTTTCTACTCCCCAAAAGTGTCACCGTCTCAGACCCTCCAGGAGCATTTCTACTCTGTCCTGTAGGATCACTACAAATCAGAATCGAGATGGGCTTTTTTTTTTGGCTTTATCAAAATGTGAAGCAACCTCTCCTCCAGTTCCATGGATCTGGATCCCCGGTTCCTGCCAGCTGACTTGCACTACAACCAACAATGGGCACACTTTTTGTCACTATCGAGCTGGAGAGCATGCAGGGTGGCCCGGTGGGTGACATCACCAGGCCTGGTGGTCCTGAAGTCAGTGAAGGCCTTGGAGAAACACCGGAAGCAGCACAAGACCTGAAAGCCCGCTCATTCTTCCCAGGCCCGGAGAGACCCACTGTGGCCATGGGCAGGGAGGCGCTGACTGTGGTGAAGACAGGCTGGGTGGTGCTGCGGGAGATCAAGCCAGCGGACTCTAAGCCCGGCACCATTCGAGGGGACTTTATTCACTTCGGTAGCAGCATCATTTGTGGCAGCGACTTGGTCAAAAGCGCCGAGAAAGAAAGCAGCCTCTGATGTAAGCCGGGGGAATTGGTGACCACAAGTCTGGCGACTATAACTGGGTCGACGAGCCAGAGGGGGACACAGCAGCCCACTCCCCGTGCGCCCGTTGATACTGCTCTCCGTGTCTGTCCTGTGGACAGCTCTTCTTCCAGGGTTGGAAGCATAGGAAAAATGTCCTGTCCCCGTCCAAAGCACATTGACCAATCAAATAAAGCCTTTGGAGAATTGGGGGTGGGGGTGGGTGGGGAGTGAAGCTATTGTTTCTTAACATATCCTCCACCCAAGACTGTGCACTTTTTAAAAGTTTTGGTTTGGATTATTATTTTTAATTTAGTTTTACACTTTTTATTGTGAAGTGGGTGAAGGTTGATAGTGGAAATCGGTTTTTCATTCAGTATCCATACACATTTTGTTTCACGATCTCAGCCCCTTCGATGTAATTAATATCCCACTTCCTTTGTGTCTCATTTCCAACCCCCCTTCTTTCCCAACTCTTCTTGCATTCTGAACTTTAACCTTGGGCAAATACTTCCCCTTTGATCTTATATGACAAATTATTCCAAGAAGGGAGTATCTCCCCAGTGTTATGGTTCATCTTATATACCTGTTCATTGTTTGACTAAAAATTGAACCTGAGGTAAGTCCACTTCCAGACTTGAAGGGTCTTTGCTTCATTAGGTGGCTCATGAGCTTTTAAGACCCCAGTTTCTACTCAACAAAGTCTTTGTGGATTCTATTATGCCAACTGACTGACCTTGGTGTTCCCCAAGACTAAGGTCTTGAGCCCCCAGGCCCAGCCTAGGTCTATACATTTCTGAAGGTTATATTTCCTTATCTCTAACCCTTGTTCTGTGGCTGAGGCATTGGGCTGCTAAATGAATGATTGGTGGTTCAAATCCACTAGCTTCCCTGTGGAAGAAAGATGAGGCTGTCTGCTCCTATAAAGATTTACAATCTCAGAAACATTAGATAGGGGCAAATCAACTCAATAGCATTGGGATTTTAAACCCTTTCCTCTGTTCAATTTATATTCTTCAATTTACATCAAAATGACAGTTTTGTCAACCTTGAAGACCTTAAATCAAATTATTTCCCTGTTCTGGAAACAGAACGGAGTCTGAAGAGGTAAAATCAGGCCTGTAGGATAGACAGGGAAAGATTTGCACATAAAATTCTCATTGGACAGTTCTTGCTACCTCTCAAAATGAGAAAGTGTATTGTCATGATGGAAAAAGAAAAGTCCTCGGTGTAACTAACAAGCCCTGGTAAACATCCTATGTCCCTCCACATTCCGCCCCAAACTTTCTCTATGACCTTATTAACGGACCTCTCTTCGTTGAATATAACGGACTCAGCATATTATCTCAGACATCACTGCTTTGATAGGATCTTGTCCTCTGGATTGTATTGGTAAATTCAAAATGTGTTCCTGTATATGGTTTATTTTATAAAATTGTCTTCATTATCTTTGATCCTGCTTAAAAGTCTGAGGGAATGATGAACTCTGGTAACCATCAACCCAAAAGCGTAGTGAGTTCAAGATGTTTGCTTCCAATTGAATATGGCAAGCTAATGGGAAATCCCAACTTTAGAAGTTACTCCGTCAGTCGCACGGAGCCCCCCAGTCCTGGAGTGGTTACGAGTTGGGCTGTGATCTGCATTTTAAAATGGCAATTTAAAAGCACCAGCAGCTCCACTGGAGAGACTGGGCTTTCTACTCAAGTAAAGAGTTACAGTTTCAGCAACTCGTAGGGCGTCACTCTGAATCTGCTTTGACATGACGGCCATGAGCATCCGGGGCGATTCTTGGATCTTTCCCCACAAATTTCTGAACATCATTCAGTTTCTTCATTCCATGAGATTGATCGTGTTTGCTATTTTGGTTCATCTTTGAAGTCTTCCTTATCTTTTTAAAAACACTTGATCCATCTGAAGACTGTTGGGGGCAGTGGTTCTGTAACTGAAAAGCAAACTTGCTGGCATCTAGTCAATACTGACTCATGTGAGCCCCTGTGGCTTTCTGAGGTGATGACTATTTATGGAAGTAGAAAGCCCAGTCTCCCGCTAAGCATCTGGTGGTTTCAAACTGCTGACTATGCAGATCGCAGCCCAGTGTGTAACAACACTACACCACCAGGGCTTCCATCAACTTTTTGCACCCACCCACCCTCCCAAAAAGGAAAAAACCCAACCAAACAAAAAAAACCTAATGACAACAAAAAACTTGAATGATCGGGAAAGATGTACACTTCAGTTTTGTTAAAAATGTACTATTATCCATGCCATCAAAATTAAAAATTGTTTCTGTTTTGTCCACAGCACCAGAAATCTCTTATGTGTGTGTGTGTGTGTGTGTGTGTGTGTGTGTGTGTGTACATGAAGTGTTCACCCTGATGGATGACACTAGAGCAATATGAAGACAAGCGCATCACTGAGCGAAGTTGTGTAAGTCATTTAGGGATCATATGTTAAACATAGTCATTTGGAAGACACCTGTGCACATATGGACTGAAACTCAGGCAGTTTCAGCTCCAGGAGTCCTGGTGCCATCGTGGGATGTGTGTTGGCTTGCTAACCTCAAGGTCAACAGTTTGAATCCACCAGGCACTTCAAGATGAGGCCTTTTGCTCTGGTAAAGATTTACTACCTTGGAGCATGTCCCCGAGGTCTGTGGCTCCTGTGGCCCTCTGGTCTCCAAGTGCATGCAAGAGCAACGTGGAGAGACTGACAGCTCAGGTCAGCAAAGGATCTGCAGCTGCCACTTGCCTTTCCTAAAAAATTCTCCAGGATCTGGGCAAGGAATCTGCCTACCTAAGTCATTTTCCATCGGCTTCCATGGAGGTGGGTGCACTGGACTGATGTGGGCTCGGTACTTTTTATTCTCCTCTCCGGCAGGATGTCCTTGCTTGTCCTGGTTGTTAAAGAAATGTGAAGAGGTAGCTGTGCTTTTGAAAAGCAGATTTGGCTAGTAAAACAGCCTTGGAATATGATGACGCACAAAAGATCGAGAGTTCTGAGCACTGAAGTGCTATGGGGAGAAAGAACTTCAAGCAGACTATTTTGGGTGCCCCAGAAAAATTTAAAAATGTACCTGGCTTAACAAATAAAAAGACTTGTGGGGAAAAGAAAGATTTACAACCTTGGAAATAAAAGGGAGTAATTCTACTCACTTCTATGGGTTTCAATGAGTCTAGATAAATTTTATGGGACTGGGTTAGTATGTTAAGAGTTAGCAAAATCTTCTGACTGGGCGAAGAAATCTGGTATAGATGCATGTCTTTATATTTTATATTATAAAATGCAGAATCTAATTTTATTTTGAAGGATTCCAGATCACTAGATTAATTTTTGAAATAAGTATAAACAACCTCAAATATAGAAACCCAAATCCTTGTGTATTCTTTTGTTTTGTTTTGTTTTTGTTTTTTTTGTTTTTTAAATCAATTTATTGGGGCTTATAAAATTCATCACAATACATAGATCAATTGTGTAAAGCACATCTATACATTTGTTGCCCTCATCATTCCCAAAATTCGCTTGCCTCTTGGGTTCC